TGTTGCCCGTCACCTGCCGGACCTGAAATTGCTTCCGCCACCGTCAGCTTGGTTAGGTTGGGGATTTGGGATGCGGGAATCGGGGGAGGGAGTCTGGGAGACGAGGTGCGACCTGCTGCAGTGGCTCTCGCCCGCCTCACAGTCACAGCCAGGATGGGCTTGAGTTCGTTGGCTTCAGTCTCCAGAACGTATAAACATATGTAGTCAAATTTTTTGGGGCCTAATTCTTGGGTATTCCATGGAATTCCCAGGAAGACCCCCAGCGCCGCCACTGGTTCTCAGCCTACCTGACATGCACTGGGAGGAGTGCGTGTAAAGATGTGCAGAATACATGCCTAACTCATTAGCACCTTTTACTCCTGAGTTTATAGTAGCGTGTTAACGCCTTTCTATTGTTTTTAATTTCTCAGAGCAAGGGCGGGACCTAGAAGAGTTCTTCCAATCGACGGCAGGTTTGTATTCTTGTTTTCCCCTCCCATCAGATTCTGCTGCTAAAGTGCACATTGTATTTAAACTATGCAGGCTGTCCATTTATTCATTGTTTTCTTACACACAATACATTTCTATGAAACTTTTTAGGATAGCAAACCAGAACATTAATGCCTGAGCACTTGATATTATTTTGAGTTGACATGTGTCATACTCCTTACACTGTTACATATTTCTGGTATATCTCCCATCTTGCAGGATTCAAATACTAGCTCACGGAAAAGCTCAGCTTATTTCCCTGGTTAATCTCTTGATTTCTATGTAGGGAAATTCCAAACGGACGTCGGAAAAGCATGGGCGGCAGAGGTTGCATCGAGAAGAAAGTGAAAGCAAGTGATCAAATGACAGTCACGAGTCACAAGCCCTCTCGGTGCTTCTTTTTTTGGGCACAATTGTCAGCGCCGAATCTGTATCATGTTTCAGTTCAGGGCCTTATCCCTGAGACAAACCGGCCTCCCAACTCGGGTAGGGCTTCTCCAGATCAGCCAGTTGTATTGCAAAGCAGGTCTTTTCACTTGTAGCTCGCCTGGCCATGCCCAGCACCAAGTTGGTAGGATCAGCCCCTTTCTGATGTAAAATCAGTTAACTCGTTGACACCAATACAGCGTACTCCTGTTAATTGAGGCCCATCGTTTCGATCCTTTGTTAACGGTATCTGTGCTGTCATAAATTTGCATGCTGTGCATTTTGGTATCAACTTGATTGCTTCGTCATGTCGCAACTGCCGAGCATTGTTCGGACCTGCTAGCTAGAATTTCAGTGGATCAAGAGTGAAAAACGTGACGTACCAGGGAATCATGTTTAGGGTTTCTTTGTTCGTCGCAAGCTCTTAGATCCTGTATGACTAAAGCATATGAGAATGTGTCATTGAAGTGCGTTTGATGGCCAATGAGTGGGAATGTAAGAACTGAGTGGCCAATCCTACGAATCAAACCATCTTACAAAATTGGGTTTTGTCTTGAGCACATCTAAGTTATTGCACATCTAAGTGACTCAGTCAAGCAAAAAAAAAATTCAGATCAAATCACATGGGTGCAGATAAGCTGATGGGGATTATCACAGTTTGTATCAGTGATGAGTCGACGGATGCAGGTCTCGGCATTTTCTTGGGGAAGGGAAATCAAATCTGAATGTTCCTTTCATGGAAACTATCCCCAAAGAAGGTAATATGTGTTGCAATTCCCGGCCTCTTCATCATCATGATGCACACAATAAACCCATAGATGATTTGTTTTCTTATAACTCTTCGAGACATCGTCTCTTTGGGTCACTTTCTCTGTGGAAGAAATATTAGACATTAAGTACAAGTCACTCTCTCTTTTGTGAGGATAGGCCGTCGGTAGGGAAAGGAGCATCGCACTTGTGAAAATCAAAGGAAAGTGATTTTTTTCTGAAATTTTAAACACAAAAATATTCTAATATTAAGTATTCATACAATCATTCTGTACCCAAACCGCCACATAGGATGGGATGACGCCAACCAGCAAAACGTTAGACTTGTCACTATTACGAAACTTAGCAATCTCGTGGGTAAACCATATTCACGAGCGCTCAATCTATATGACAAAATATAACGGTGGTATCGCGGGACTCCAATAGCAGCAGTGCAGTAACACGCACAATTCAAATTAAACCACACGGGTGCAGAAAAGCTTGTGGCGATTATGACAAATCAAAGCTACAGGTTTCCCATCTACTTCGGGAAAAGAAAATTTGAAGCTGCAGGTTCCTATCAAGGAAACGATCCCCCAAAAAGGTATTACAATGTGGCTTAGTGCATTCGGCAACGTTCTTGACAAAGTTAATTTTTTTGCAAGCTTGTAGTGCACATTTGCATCAATTACATGTGGGATGCACTAGTTTGTGTGTAAAGATACAACTCATGCTTGCAAATGAGGTGCCATTGATGATTGCTTTGAGGATTGTCTTTCTTCTTCTAACTCTTTCGAGTCACTCTCTCTTTTGTGAGGATAGGCCACTGGTAGGGAAAAGGAGCATTGCACTTTGTGAAAAACCAAGGAAGGGGATGCTTTTGTGTAAAGAAAATTATGCAAGTCGTATTTTTAACCCATATAAATATGTTAATGTTCAATTTTCATACAATCAGTCCAAACGAAACCATCACATAGGACGGTATAGCACCAGCCACCGTTAAACTTGTCCCTATTACAAAACTTAGCAATCTCGTGGTCAACCATATTTCTGTCCTGCTTAATCGTATTGAAAAATAATACTCTTGGAGGTATTATGTGATCAAAGATCTTTTTCTTGGGTCTGTCTAGACACATCTAGATGTGCCATATAAAGTAGTTATGTCACATCTAAACGGATGTCCACTCTGTTTGTGGTCTATTTTTTTGTTCTAGTTTTTTTGTTTTTTATGGTTGCATTATATATTTGTGGGAGCTTTGATATGAGATTTTTAACAAACATCTAGATGTAAATTAGACAGACTGCTTTTTCTTTTCTTCATATCGACTAAGATAAAATCTGTCAATAGAATAATCTGACACCGAGGCAATCAGTTTCTTTTTGAGGGTAAACACAACTTTTATTAACTAACCAAAACTCGGAATCTCATCTGAGATAATGTGCAGAATCAAATACAATCTGGTGGGTCAGAAGGCCACACCTCACATCGTTCATCACTAACCCCTAGCTTGGCCAATACATGCGCAGCTTCATTTGCCGTCCTTTGTCTCTACCTAACTTTCACGCCCCGCCAATCCTGAAGCATCGCTTTTAGGGCATCTTCAAAGGAAACTCATAATTTTTTTCCGTGTCCATCCGCAGACAGAGAGTATCAGTCCGCGAATATGAATGCGGGATGACATCATCCAACACTAGTCGCATACATTTTAAACGGCTTTTCAATAAATCGGATGAAATTCCTGCAAACACGGCTGGATTTCATACAAACATGATGGATTTCATGCAAACTGCACGAAAATGTTACATTTTGGACATATTTTCAACTAAAAAGCTAAAACTATGTGCACATATGATCGCGTGGAACTCCACTCCCACGACACGGATACACTACACTAGTCTACGGCCAGCCATGGTGGATCCCTTTGTCTTCCCATTTCCGGCAGCCTGCTAAACGGACTGTCGGGAGCCCCAAAGGCATATTCTTCCCCTGTATCTTCCCTATGTCTGGTTGCGCTGCTCATCGGAGCGGCAAAGAGGGTGCTTCAGCCGGAGGGGGATGGTGCTTCCTTGGAGCTCAGTCGAGTGCCCAAGATGGTCTGGGATAAAGGAGAACCAGCCAGGGTACCGGTGTCGGCCTTCACGGGATACAAGCGGCGGTGGCCTCCCGTGTTCTACTTCTCCTCGATGATGGCTGAAGACCCACAAGTATTTAGTCCTTTCGATAAGTAAGAGTGTCGAACCCAACGAGGAGCAGAAGGAAATGATAAGTGGTTTTCAGCAAGGTATTCTCTGCAAGTACTGAAATAAGTGGTAACAGATAGTTTTGTGATAAGATAAATTATAATGAGCAACAAGTAGTAAAAGTAAATAAGGTGCAGCAAGGTGGCCCAATCCTTTTTGTAGCAAAGGACAAGCCTGGACAAACTCTTATGATAGGAAAAGCGCTCCCGAGGACACATGGGAATATCGTCAATCTAGTTTTCATCACGCTCATATGATTCGCGTTCGGTACTTTGATAATTTGATATGTGGGTGGACCAGTGCTTGGGTACTGTCCTTACTTGGACAAGCATCCCACTTATGATTAACCTTTATTGCAAGTATCCACAACTACAACAAAAGTATTAAGGTAAACCTAACCATAGCATGAAACATATGGATCCAAATCAGACCCTTACGAAGCAACACATAAACTACGGTTTAAGCTTCTGTCACTCTAGCAACCCATCATCTACTTATTACTTCCCAATGCCTTCCTCTAGGCCCAAATAATGGTGAAGTGTTATGTAGTCGACGTTCACATAACACCACTATAGGTTAGACAACATACATCTCATCAAAATATCGAACGAATACCAAATTCACATGACTACTAATAGCAAGACTTCTCTCTTGTCCTCAGGAACAAACGTAATTACTCACAAAGCATATTCATGTTCATAATCAGAGGGGTAATAATGTGCATAAAGGATCTGAACATATGATCTTCCACCAAATAAACCAACTAGCATCAACTACAAGGAGTAATCAACACTACTAGCAACCTACTAGCACCAATCCCGGACTTGGAGGCAAGAATTGGATACAAGAGATGAACTAGGGTTTGGAGATGAGATGGTTGTTGGGGAACGTAGTAATTTCAAAAAAATTCCTACGTACACGCAAGATCATGGTGATGGCATAGCAACGAGAGGGAAGAGTGTTGTCCACGTACCCTCGTAGACCATAAGCGGAAGCGTTATGACAACGCGGTTGATGTAGTCGTACGTCTTCACGATCCGACCAATCCAAGCACCGAACGTACGGCACCTCCGAGTTCAGCACACGTTCAGCTCGATGACGATCCCCGGGCTCCGATCCAGCAAAGCTTCGGGGATGAGTTCCGTCAGCACGACGGTGTGGTGACGATGATGATGCTCTACCGGCACAGGGCTTTGCCTAAACTCCGCGACGATATGACCGAGGTGGAATATGATGGAGGGGGGCACCGCACACGGCTAAGGAACGATCCGTAGATCAACTTGTGTGTTATGGGGTGCCCCTACCCCCGTATATAAAGGAGGGAGGGGGAGGTGCGGCCGGCCCCCTTGGGGTGCGCCTGGAGGAGTCTTACTCCCACCGGGAGTAGGACTCCCCCCTCTTGCCTTGGTCGAGAAGGAAAGGGGGGAGGGGAAAGAGGAAAGGGGGGCGCTGCCCCCCCCTTCCTTGTCCTATTCGGACTAGGGGGGGAGGGGGCGCGCGGCCTGCCCTGGCCGGCCCTCCTCTTCTCCCTCATGGCCCACTAAGGCCCATTAACCCCCGGGAGGGTTCCGGTAACCCCCCGGTGTTCCGGTAAAATCCCGATTTCACCTGGAACCTTTCCGATGTCCAAACATAGGCTTCCGATATATCAATCAATCTTTATGTCTCGACCATTTCGAGACTCCTCGTCATGTCCGTGATCACATCCGGGACTCCGAACAAACTTCGGTACATCAAAACTTATAAACTCATAATAAAACTGTCATCGTAACGTTAAGCGTGCGGACCCTACGGGTTCGAGAACTATGTAGACATGACCTAGAACCATTCTCGGTCAATAACCAATAGCGGGACCTGGATGCCCATATTGGTTCCTTCATATTCTACGAAGATCTTTATCGGTCAAACCGCATAACAACATACGTTGTTCCCTT